AGCACAATCTCTGTCAAGGAGAAGCCACACATCTCAGTCCTGCCTCTTCCCCACGCTGAGGCTGGAGGCACTGCAAAGATTCGACACATGAACAGGATAGGCTTTGGCCCTACACTGGCCACTTCTGGGCAACTGCAGCCCAGGACAGGTGTCTGCACAATGGCTCCGCTCCTACTGGATTTGCAGTTCACAGGGCCTGGGAAAAAGTGAGACACTCAACAGACACACTCCCCCACTGGGATAGGGCAGGATCCAGCAGGTACGTGCGTCCCACAATGTGCCCTACCAAACCTGGACTAGGTTTTTGCCAGCACTGCAAGCAGGGAACAGACAACTTTCACCACCTCAGAGGTGAACTCAGAGCTCCCGAGAAAGGTTGTCTCAACTCAGCCAGACCTTACTCTTCTTTTCTTTGACTTTTCTTCTTGGGTTGCTTTGGGCAAAACAACTTAAGAGCAGGAATGTTTCTTCAAGGTTCATACAAATGGCTACTGACAGACAGGAGGGACATTCAACAGTCATTGACAGTTCCCCTGGCTACAGGGGAACTTCCATGAAAATCCGCAGGAAAGTGGTTTATTTTTTTTAATTACGTGTGTCTTGGGTTCAGCAGGAGCAGTCATTTTTCTCCTTCTTAGTAGCTGGTGCACTGCTGTGTTTTTGACTTTAGCCTCGGAACAACGCTGGTAACACCGATGTTTTTAGTTGTTGCTAAGTAATGTTTAGTCTGACCAAGGATCTTCTGAGTCTCATGCTCTGCCAGGGAGGAGGGGAAGCCAGGAGGAAGCAGAGACAGGACAGCTGACCCAGACTAGCCAAAGAGGTATTCCATACCACAGCACATCATGCCCAGGATGTAAACTGGGGGCAGTTACCAGGAAGGGTCAGATCCCTGCTTGGTCGGACTGGGTATCGGTTGGCAGGTGGTGAGCGGTTGTATTCTCTTCCCTTGTTATTTCCCTTATCATTATTATTATTGGTGGTAGCAGTAGTGGTTTGTGTTATACCTTAGTTACTCAACTGTTCTTATCTCAACCCATTGGAGTTACATTCTTTCCATTCTCCTCCCCCTCCCACCGGGAGGGGGGTGGGGGGGAGTGACAGTGTGAGATGCGTGGCTGGGCTTAAACCACCACAACATGCCATGAAACCATTGTTAGCTGGGGAACTCAAAAAGAAAGTAGCAAGATAGAAGCTGTGTTCAAAGGTGAGTCAGAGGCAAGTCAAATTTTTGTCCCAGTAGAGACAAAGTAGCTTCTGTGAGAAAAGGGAGTCATTTTAGTGTTGCACCAACAACTTTTCCTCTTCTACCTGCTGCTGGAAAGCAACCAGCAGGCTCAAGCTGCTCCACACACAGGAAGGGAAAATGGTTGCCCACAGTGCCAGGACTGTTGCTGGTTGGAGCAGAGCCACCTTTTCCAAGGACAGCCCCAAAGCTGAGAGGGTGACTCTGCAGCACAGTGATGCCCAGCCTCCCTCCAGCCCCTGCGGCACAGCCAAGGGCCAGCAGAGTGGCTCTCTGCCCCTCACCTTTCAAGTTACTGGGCAGCATGGTGCTGTCCAGGTTCACGCCTGGCCTTACAATGCAGATCATGGCCGCAGCCCCTGCTCTGGACCTTGAGCTTGCTGTGAGGGATGACTCCAAGACTGCAAAAGCTAGGTGGAGGAAGAGAGAAGGAATGAGGCAATTTGCAAAGTGACCTGCAGCCTGAAAATGTTTCCAAGTTCACCTGAAATAGTCCAAGGCCCCCTCACACCACACAGTACACGTGCACTGACCTGCGGGTGCTGAACATGCTCTCTAAGCAGAGCAAAATAGTTTTCACTGGAAGTTTCCCGCGCCTGGCCCTCACCTCAAGCTGGAGTTTGTTCTCAGTTAAGCTAGCATTTGGCCAACGTAAGTTCTGTGCTCATGAGAACGTCTCAGGACCACAACACACGTGGTCCAGAACCATTTCCCCTGAGGTTTAGCCCCAAGAACTGAGGCCCCTCCAAGCCACAACTTGTGAGCCACTGCTTTGGCTGTCCTGACAACAAGGCACACAGAAGCCCGTGCCTCTGCCAGGCCAAGTTCTGCATGATCTGCTGCAAGATCTTACTCTGCCCCTAATCCATGGGGCAATGAAGGGGCAAGTTTGTGCTGTAGGGAATGCAACACAGCAACTCATTAGTCAGTGGCAAAGGTTCTTACTGTTCAGGTTCTCCCAGCTGTCCTCTGCTTTTTCACCCCACTTCTTGGTGCGGAACAAGAGCATGTCGTTGCAACGAAGGAAGTGCACCAGCTCCTCCAAGTAATACGGGATCCCCAAGCTTCTTTGGACCAGGAACCTGGGCAGGAACAGATCCAGCAGTGATCAGCACAAGAAAAGTAGAATCATAGAAAAGGACCTTAGGATCATCTAGTTCCAACCCCCTGCCATGGGCAAGGACACCTCACACTAGACCATGTCGCCCAAGGCTCTGTCCAACCCGACCTTGAACACTCCCAGGGGTGGAGCATTCACCACATCTTTGGACAACATGTTCCAGTGACTCGCCACCCTAAAAGGAAAAACAGTTGAGGTGGGTAGCAAGCCACTCAGGCATAGCTGGGGAGCCAGCATCTTTGTCACAGCTACACCTCACTTCTGAAAGGGAGGTCCTCCTGCTGGCATGTGGTTTTTGGCCCCCCTGAACCTCCAGCCTTTGCTGAAGTCCCTGGGGAAAGACTTGCAGACAGTGCCCAAAGCACAGAGCAGCAAGCCCTGCCTTTCCTCTCCTCAGGAGCTTAGGTGCTCGCTGGCAGCAGGGCAGACTTCTGCCCCAGGGAATCTGCCACACAGCCTGGCCACTTAGACCAAGCCCTTTTCACACCCCAGATATGCTTGGCCTTGGGGGTCTTCCTCCCTTCCTCCTTGTGAAACAGCAAAGGGTTGGCAGCTCCTATGCTTCGTGTCCAGGGAGCTCCCCTGCTCCAACTTACCTCACTAAAGCCCTAGGGATGCTGACCACTCCAAGGTCGTGGCAGAGCTTCTGCGCCACAGCTGAAGGTTTCAGCTTCTCTAGTTGAAAGCAGATGATTTTATGGGACATCAGGTTGTTTGCTGTGGCTTTGTGAAAGCTCTCGGTTCTTGCAAAGCCGGGACATAAGCTCATGACCATGAAGACAGAGATGTTCCAGAGCAGAGGTGCCATGATACTCCAGGAGGCGGGGTCAATGAAATGGGCATTGTCGATGACAAATATGGCATTTCTGTCAATGGTCTGGAAAAAAAAGGGTTGTTCTGAGGGGAATCCAGTGGATTCTCAAGTGTCTTACGGGGAAGGAGATTTTGCCTCTGTCTCTTGAGAGGATGCTCTCAAGTCTCACCCCAACCAACTCCGTGCTTGGAAGCTTCCCAATGCCTAATTTCTTTGAGATTTTCAGGTCATGCTTAACATCACCTGCCCTGCAGAAGGAGGGAGCTTGGGCAAGGGAACGCAGAATTCTCTCTCCTCCAGGGAACGCTTTAAGGGAGGAAAGTTACTAGTATGCTTGTCGGGCTATGGAGAGAACATGGGGGGTTTCTCAGGCCCTAGAGGGCAAGGACCAGGTCCTCCCACCCACTCACACTGCTGTGGCGCAGAGCCCAGAGCCAGCAGGGTTGTTTTCCTCCTCTGACCCAGAAGGAGAAAAGGAGAAATGCTCACCTTCTCTAGCACTTTTGCCCAGGTTGAATGCAATTCCTCTTTCCTTTGCATTTCATGCATTTGGCGAACCTTGTCTGAAATGGGAAACTAGACAGAAAAGCAAAGTCAGGGAGAAACATGTCTCCAGGGCTCGCTACACCTACCCACCAAGCAAGATGGCAGAGCAAACCCTCCCTGCTCTGCCTCAGCACCTTCCCTTGCAAGAGGCCACAGTGGGACTTCAACTAGAGCCTAAAGCAGAGGTCAGGCAGAGCTGCATCTTGGGGGTTGAAGAGCCAGGTTCTCTGACTCTTGGGCTGGCTGGAGCAGACCACTCACACAGCAATGTTTTCCAGCATAGGAGACCCATATTCCAGTGCTGTCCAGAATGCCTCACTTGTGGCACCAGGCACTGGGAGAAAGCGCGGGACATTAAGTCTCACATACAGGCAGCCCCCGGGGCCAGGAATGGGAAACATGTGCTGTGACCCCCTGCAATCCCTCCCCCTGAGCTAAGGCACTCCAGCAGCCTTAGAAGACTGCTGAAGAACCAGAAGGGCTCAGGAGAAAGCCTTCTCTAGAGAATCGCTCTCACCTTGACAAGGAAGATTTGTCAAGGTTCTCTGGTCAGAGAGTGTTTTCCTAGCACGTGCTCCTTGCTATCTGCACGATTCACAGGCTATAGTATGCATCAGAATGTGCATGGCACACTCGCTTTCCACTCTCCTTGACCTCTAGGGGCAGGACCCCTTACAAATACCCTGCCTGCAAAAGCATGGCTAGAGGAGAGAAAGAGCTGGTTCACCTCCTTCTGCAGGGTCATTGATTTTGTTCTGCCTTACAGTTAGAGAGCTAGGGTTAGACCCCTTCTGGTCTCTGCAACGGAACCTTGTGGACTTGAGAATCCATATAAGAACAGAGGCCTTATTCTGCCTCTCAGCCACAGAAAGGCTTTGCTTTGATCACTTGGTTAGTTTCAAGCAGGGCCTCTGAGACATTTCCCCTGTATATATATATACATATAGTATTACACCCTGGGCTTTTTACTTCTACAGAAATGCCATATTTGTCATCGACAATGCCCATTTCATTGACCCCGCCTCCTGGAGTATCATGGCACCTCTATGTCCCGGCTTTGCAAGAACCGAGAGCTTTCACAAAGCCACAGCAAACAACCTGATGTCCCATAAAATCATCTGCTTTCAACTAGAGAAGCTGAAACCTTCAGCTGTGGCGCAGAAGCTCTGCCACGACCTTGGAGTGGTCAGCATCCCTAGGGCTTTAGTGAGGTAAGTTGGAGCAGGGGAGCTCCCTGGACACGAAGCATAGGAGCTGCCAACCCTTTGCTGTTTCACAAGGAGGAAGGGAGGAAGACCCCCAAGGCCAAGCATATCTGGGGTGTGAAAAGGGCTTGGTCTAAGTGGCCAGGCTGTGTGGCAGATTCCCTGGGGCAGAAGTCTGCCCTGCTGCCAGCGAGCACCTAAGCTCCTGAGGAGAGGAAAGGCAGGGCTTGCTGCTCTGTGCTTTGGGCACTGTCTGCAAGTCTTTCCCCAGGGACTTCAGCAAAGGCTGGAGGTTCAGGGGGGCCAAAAACCACATGCCAGCAGGAGGACCTCCCTTTCAGAAGTGAGGTGTAGCTGTGACAAAGATGCTGGCTCCCCAGCTATGCCTGAGTGGCTTGCTACCCACCTCAACTGTTTTTCCTTTTAGGGTGGCGAGTCACTGGAACATGTTGTCCAAAGATGTGGTGAATGCTCCACCCCTGGGAGTGTTCAAGGTCGGGTTGGACAGAGCCTTGGGCGACATGGTCTAGTGTGAGGTGTCCTTGCCCATGGCAGGGGGTTGGAACTAGATGATCCTAAGGTCCTTTTCTATGATTCTACTTTTCTTGTGCTGATCACTGCTGGATCTGTTCCTGCCCAGGTTCCTGGTCCAAAGAAGCTTGGGGATCCCGTATTACTTGGAGGAGCTGGTGCACTTCCTTCGTTGCAACGACATGCTCTTGTTCCGCACCAAGAAGTGGGGTGAAAAAGCAGAGGACAGCTGGGAGAACCTGAACAGTAAGAACCTTTGCCACTGACTAATGAGTTGCTGTGTTGCATTCCCTACAGCACAAACTTGCCCCTTCATTGCCCCATGGATTAGGGGCAGAGTAAGATCTTGCAGCAGATCATGCAGAACTTGGCCTGGCAGAGGCACGGGCTTCTGTGTGCCTTGTTGTCAGGACAGCCAAAGCAGTGGCTCACAAGTTGTGGCTTGGAGGGGCCTCAGTTCTTGGGGCTAAACCTCAGGGGAAATGGTTCTGGACCACGTGTGTTGTGGTCCTGAGACGTTCTCATGAGCACAGAACTTACGTTGGCCAAATGCTAGCTTAACTGAGAACAAACTCCAGCTTGAGGTGAGGGCCAGGCGCGGGAAACTTCCAGTGAAAACTATTTTGCTCTGCTTAGAGAGCATGTTCAGCACCCGCAGGTCAGTGCACGTGTACTGTGTGGTGTGAGGGGGCCTTGGACTATTTCAGGTGAACTTGGAAACATTTTCAGGCTGCAGGTCACTTTGCAAATTGCCTCATTCCTTCTCTCTTCCTCCACCTAGCTTTTGCAGTCTTGGAGTCATCCCTCACAGCAAGCTCAAGGTCCAGAGCAGGGGCTGCGGCCATGATCTGCATTGTAAGGCCAGGCGTGAACCTGGACAGCACCATGCTGCCCAGTAACTTGAAAGGTGAGGGGCAGAGAGCCACTCTGCTGGCCCTTGGCTGTGCCGCAGGGGCTGGAGGGAGGCTGGGCATCACTGTGCTGCAGAGTCACCCTCTCAGCTTTGGGGCTGTCCTTGGAAAAGGTGGCTCTGCTCCAACCAGCAACAGTCCTGGCACTGTGGGCAACCATTTTCCCTTCCTGTGTGTGGAGCAGCTTGAGCCTGCTGGTTGCTTTCCAGCAGCAGGTAGAAGAGGAAAAGTTGTTGGTGCAACACTAAAATGACTCCCTTTTCTCACAGAAGCTACTTTGTCTCTACTGGGACAAAAATTTGACTTGCCTCTGACTCACCTTTGAACACAGCTTCTATCTTGCTACTTTCTTTTTGAGTTCCCCAGCTAACAATGGTTTCATGGCATGTTGTGGTGGTTTAAGCCCAGCCACGCATCTCACACTGTCACTCCCCCCCACCCCCCCTCCCGGTGGGAGGGGGAGGAGAATGGAAAGAATGTAACTCCAATGGGTTGAGAT